TCTGGTTACTTTGTTCAATGCATGGTAGTCAACGCAGAATCGCACCGAACAGTCTTCTTTTCGCACGAGAAGACAGGTGATGACCAAGGGCTTGAGGAGGGGCGGATGATGTTTTGCCTGAGCATATCAGCAATGTGCTTGTCGATGTTCTCGTGTTCGCTGGAAGAAACACGGTATGGTCGACGACGGACAATGGAAGTTCCGTCGGTGTGTATGCGATGAGCCACCGCAGAAGTCTGGCTTAGAGCAGTGGAATGTACGTCGAAAGAAAATTTATGCTTGGACAACAACGCCAGTAGGTCGTCTGCTTGGGGGGGAGTGAGATCCGTGCTGGTGGCATTGACGAGAGCCCTAGTAAGTGGAGCATCTGTTGGTATTGAACGTGATTCCACCAGACTGGTATCCGAAGCCACTACAGAGATAGATTGTGTGTCCACGTTGGAAACAACAGTGTTCTTGGTCAGCAGAATCGGCTCATTGGTGATATTTAATACAGTGAATAATGCGGTGCCGTTGGAGAAGCTGACATGGCTCGATGAAAGTGCAATCCCTCTGGATAGACAACGGCCTGATGGACTGACTAGGACGTCACCGTGGTCAAAGGAGTCGGACATAACCATAACGTGCTCGTGGTTAGGTGGCACAAGGAAGTCATTGGCTGTTTGTAGCCGGTCACGGGATGATTTCGGGAGATTTCATCCGTCTCGCATATGTATGAGTCGTCGACAAGAGATGGAAGCAGCAGCGTCAAAGTAATTCTATTCTAGAATAAGCATAAAAGCACAAGAAGCCAGCACGGCAAACTGAATATGATGCCAGATTCCATCAATGAAAGCTAACGGTGCACTGTGCTGATGGCCGTATCTGCGAGTCGTTTGCACTACGTAAGAGAGGGCCAGTATACGGTGTGGTGACCTCACGTAGACGAGAACACAAATCCGCATGAATAGCAAAAATAGCACCCCCCCCCACCCCCACCCCCCCTGTGTCCACCAATACTAGAACTGGTACCCCTTCAGCATACGCTAATAACAAGTTGGCTGGGCTCTCTGGAGGTCTTGGTGTTTGTTCGAGCGATGCAGCTTACCTCCAAAAACTGCACTAGCTAGTTTTCCGGGTGGTATTCAGAAGTAGGTGCAGCCGGTCTCAGAGATGTTGAGCGTCGCAGAGGTGAAGGAAACCGGTGGTGTCCGGGATAACAGGGGCGAGGTGCGGCGAGTGGGGAAGTCTGAGAGAGGGAACGTGTCGCAGGGCGGCGCTGGTACTGGTTTGGGGATGGCTCCGAATCCCTTTCGTAAACGTCGTAGCCACTGCGTTCGTCCTGTTGGCGCTTGCCCGCTTGCGGCAAAATCGTGAAATATGGCCCTGAATGCCACAATAGTAACATATTGGGTGAGGCGAGCACCGGGGGCGAAGGGTGCTGCAGCTGTCACAGGTGCTGGTACTGGCGCTGGGACAGGCGAGTGTGGTGCAAATGCTGCTACGTTGGACTGCGCAGGAACAGGATGCATGTGCTGAACCAAGGCAGGCAGGTGGCATCGCAGCGACTTGCACATAAGTCGTGGTTGGCGTTGGTGGCGCCGGAGTGTTCGATGAGAGAACGCTAGCCATGGATGAGAGCTCGTCTTTGATGATGTCGCGCAGACCAGCACATGGAGAGTGAGGCCGAGGGGCGGGTGCACATGACAACCCTTGCGCTTGAAGTTCCGTGCGAATCAGCGTGCGCAAATCTGCATCCGAGGAAGGCCGACTGTCACTGGTGTCGGGGTAGTCTGGGTGCAATCGAATGGCTTGGAGTTCATCAAGATGTTGACATGTGGCGATATCGTCCTCAACGGTGGTGGGGTTTTTAACAGCCAGAGCGTTAAATGCGACATGGCCTATCATCCCTTTGAGTTGGCGAACACGATCAGCTTCTGTCATCGCAGAGTTCACGCGGTGGCAAAAAGCAAGGACGTCTTCAATGTACGAAGTGTACGTCTCCCCGGGATGTTGGGTACGGCCATCAAGCTTTTGTTTCGACACTTCGGAAAGAATGTTCAGTTTCCTAAAAATCCTACGGACTTGTTGAGCAAAAGTAGGCCAATCCGGGAAGCTGCTCTCGTGGTTAAAAAACCATGTTTTGGAGACATCTGACAGATATAAGGTGACGTGACGAAGTTTTTGAGGCTCATCCCATTCTTCCACGTCGTCGCGTGGAAGACCAGAGAAGATGGGTGGGTCGCACTGCTGGGCGTTGACGATCCACGCAGGAATGGTTTGTTGGACAGGGATGCTGAATGTTTTGGGCAGTGGTTCTTGAGCCATGACAGCGGACGGGGGAAGCAAGCGGCAACTCGAAGGAAGCTCCAGGGGAACTCGGGAATTTAAGCAGCCTTCACCACTCTGTAAGACAGTAGCAGCCTGGGGGTCTCGGCGGCGTTTATTAGGCCGAATTGCCTGATGAACGCTTCGAAGACGACGTTTTTTGTGATGATGATTATGTACAGATGAAGATGAAGGTCAAACGCTGTGAATATTGTGCTTACAATATCATTGAAGCTTTTCAAATTAGCAAACTTGGCTCCTTTGGCCACAACGTTGATTGACGCAGATTGCCGATGCGAGCTTTGCAGCGCGGCAAAAGCTTGGTTAGCGGCGGAAGCAAAGGCGTTGGCACATTCATAACTGCACGGCTACACTTTTGCGGCACCGGCAACATCCAAAATCTCAGCATTGATACAGTCAAACATCATCATCTGTACTGATGAAGTCCCTACTGTCTGAGATTGTGCCCAGAAATGCTAAGTTGCAGAATTCACTGAGGCATCGTACGCCATTGTCAGCGATCATGACGCACCCAAAGTCGTCACCTGGCCTGCAAGGAACGTTTACGACATTGTTTTACTTGTCGTTGCTCCAAGCACCAGTCATAATTTTTATTGCTACGTGCGAATCAACGTTTAATTTAAATTCCGAATGAGGATTTATCGGGAACAAGGTGAGAAGGCCACAAGGTGCAGAGGACGCTACACGGTGGAAGGAAAGTTGTTTCCTTCATCGATGGTTAGTTCTCACTGTCGACGTGTTGGCAATATCGATGTCGCTGTGGTTTTATAGCTGGTAGCCGCTGCTTTTAGCGGCTTTGATATGAAACGATAAAAAAAAAAGCGTAGCCTTCAAGACACGCATTCTATAACCGAAGACACTAAGAAAATGCGTCACAAGGTTGCACATCTCGAAGGCCATACTTTTCAGGCTCGCATGCCATTGTGTGCAAACAATCAAGGAAGGGAATACGAACCACATGAGGACATTGCACTGAGATCGCAGAGTCACTTCGCATTCTTTTTCAGTGCCCTTGGCCATCGGTCTTCTGGAAAACACTATGCCCGCGGGCTAAGACCTGCAGATCGCGCATCAAGCATATTGATGTGCAGTAAAAGCTCGTTTATCCAGACCTGGTCAACTCGGAAATTCGGTTAACTCGGACTCGCGGGCGGACCTGGCAAAACTGTGTATATTTCAATCGGTTTAAACGCTCATTAATTCGGAGGGATTTAGCCGCGCACTGGTTATCTCAGACAACTCCGGAGAGGGCTATCGAAACTCCAGAGTCGCGCGATCTCGGCAGCTTGGGGCTCAAGCACTGCTTGCCGTAACTGACGACAGAACGAAAGTTTTGGGGAAACTGAAACGGAGCGAACTGCAGCAGAATATGACGATGATGATAGTAAATGAGGAGGAAGTGGCTAGGTGGCGCTAGTCACCACCCGGCGGAAGCGCTTGGGCCACTGACGCATCCAGTGTCTACTGCTCGCTATGCCTACTGGTGTCTTGGTTCTTTGTGTTGCGACTTCGCGTGTCGCGGCTGTGTTTGTGTGCGTTGTCGCCGCCGTCGCGCTTCATGGCGACCGTCACAGGAGTTAAGCAGCCACAGCAGCCAGCAAATGATCTTGAAAGAAAGGTTACGATATTGAGACGTGATGAGCTGACGCGACGTCGCCGCACCGTGCAGGAGGCCGCCGAAGCCCTCGCTGTCCTCGAGGGGTTCTGCGTTTTTTCTCGCGACAGTGAACTTGCGCACCACTGCCTGATGGGATTAAATAAGATTGTTCAGTCAAAAACACCAGACGGTGAGGCAGGAAAAAATAACGCGCTTTTTTAAAAAATAAAGGTTTGTCTGTGCCGTGTACGTTCTTTTGTTTTCATGGTCCGTTCGATAATTGGGAATTTGGTTAACTCAGACATTTTCTCCGGTCCCGCAAGATCCGAGTTAACGAGCTTTTACTGTACTCGCATGTGCCGCGCAGCGAACCAGATCAGCGCGACGAAGTGACACCGTTTTTTCGGCGCCTGCGCGCAAAAAAGGATCGGAACTTGTTAGAACGTGGCCTAAAATTGATGAATATTTACTAGCAAAAACTGCACTATCTGGGCTTCGGTGTGGCACAGCGTTCAATATAGCGGATGTCCCTCTGTGCGGGAGTTTGATATACAGGTTCACTGGTCCCACACTTTTGCATGGGAAATTAAAAGGTACTTTTGAACTCTTTGATATAGCCAATACTATATATCCGAGTTTGATATATCCGGGATCGACTGTAGTAATAATGAGCATAAGACTGAGTGAAAAAGCTTTGCTGTTTGCTATTCAAGGAAGATCAGACGTGGCCTCCGAAACTGGAAAATTTTGCACCATGTTGTGCGCGCTTCCAATCTTGGAGGCCACACAACTGGTCACTGCAAACCAAACTCGACCTTGCGAACATAAAAGTCCAACATGACAGCTTTCAAAATCGAGCGGTATAGCTGAAAACAGATTTAGTAAAAGTTGAACTTTTAAACATGAATTCTTCCGAAAAACCGGTTGCGAAAATGCTTAGTGTGCATTTGCGAAGTCCAATATATCCAAGAAGTCCAAATTTTAGGAGTTCGAAAAATTGGTTGGCGACTGTACTACCTTGAACCGCCAGCAGAGGCACGTACTGTAACCATTACTTCAAAATATTTTTGTGCAGTGCCAGAGGCCGCTAGTGTTGAGAGGGCACCTCCAGTGTTCCAAGCCAAAGACTGGGACAACATTGTCAAGGAGAATGAAAATGACAAGGAAGAGGGCGATGCAGCTCTCAATTCTTTGTTCCAGAAAATTTATGCTGAAGGCTCGGATGACGTAAGGAGGGCCATGAACAAGTCATTTGTAAGTACCCATGGCTCTTTCTCTTTAATTGTTCAGATTTCTTTGGGACGTTCAGTCCTGAGCACATTGCCATGATGATTACTCAATGCTGATCACTCGGAAGCTTGCAACTGATTTCCATTTCGCTCGCTTGCATCATTAGCACATTAAAAAGATTGTAAGCATGAAATTGTGAATGGGAAAAACATTCGGTGGTTCACTGTTTAATTTAGTGCCATATTATGAATGTATAAACGGTGCATTTATGACCACTTGCAGCAGTCATGGATGTAGTCGAGTGTGCTGAAGAGGCGGTGCTGTCTAAGAAATGAAAAAAAAAAGAAAGGAATTTATTCATGCAAAATAATTGTATTTTACCTATGAATTGCCCGAACTGTGAATGTTGTAAAAAATGAAGCAGCATTTATTTGAGCCAGGCAAATTAAAAAAATTATCAAACTTAAGTCACTATTTTCTGCCGTGGGAACGGTCATGCGCATTGATTCTGTAGCTTCCACACCTCTATCTAGAGAGTGTAGTATTGAAAAAAAAAAAAAGGCAGAAAACAACCAAGATTTACAAGTTCTTAAGATTGAATCATGGGCTGTCCTTAAACTGTCAGCTACTATAGATCACTATTGTTCTATTAAACGATGCAGTTTGAGTCTGGAGGAACTGTACTGAGCACAAACTGGGAAGAAATTGCCGCCAAGACCACTCCCATCAAGCCACCCGATGGGATGGAGTACCGCAAGTGGACGGAGTGAATCATCTTTGGTGTTCAGTTGTGCCATGAAGAAAGAGCAGCCGCTAGAAAAGCCCATCAGTCTGCAGCTCAAGTAATTTATGATGTGGCTGGTTCGCACATGTAATATAAATTCTACCAGTTTTGTTTAGTGTCTTTTCACTTGTCTTTTAATAAAGTTTGAGTTTCTGTTTGCCTTGTATGCCACAGTAGTCATGTGAAACTGAATTAAACTGCACGGTGAATGCAAGACTTTCATGGGACGGACTGCGCTTGTCCGGTCAAGTTTCCCACGTGGTTTTATTTCAATATCGTGCCAACTATAGTTCCCAATGCACACACCAGTGGTTGATTGGCTAAAAAAAAAAGACAATGATGCAACTTAAGGTATTTGCTTTATTCAACAGTTGACTAGGGTCTGAGGTTTTCTCGACGTGTGTCTATTCTTCCATGCCCTGAAAGGAAGGAATGCTGGGATTCCATTTGTAGCCAAGGCTAGCAAGGCATGCCTCCTATTGTTTCAGGTGTGGTGCACAGGCTTTTTAATTTGCACTTTCCTCGTCATCACAGCTGCTGTCGTAGTGGTTGAGTGCAGGAAGGGCCAGTGTTGAGCAGTTGCAGTGGGCTGTTCCAGGACCTGCTCTTCCACCATGGATATTGGCAACGGGCTCCCACCTGTGAGAGCAAAGTGTGACGGAGGTTAATAGAAGAAAAGGGACTTGACATTGATGTGCAACTTCGCCGCATTAAAGGGACCCTAAGAAGCAAAATGTTTTGCGTATTAGTACGGTAAAATTTTACAACCCCAATAACTCCACTATTACTTGGTAAGAGAGAGAACGTGCAAGAATAAAATGCGGACGGAGAGGTTACCTTTGAGATTCCCGCACACCACACTATTTCGTAGCTATTGGAGTCTGTCCTACAATTCTACTAAAAAAAAGTAAGTTATCTATGGGTGCCATGGCATACAAAGCTCTAGAAGAATTTCGTTGCGCCGGTTTCTCTGTGGCAAGTGGGTCTAGCAGACATTCCCCTGAACCTCGCTCGAGGAGTTGAGAGTCAAGACTGATCTCAAACGCTTGCGCGGCGAGACTATGCTGGTTGGGCCGAAAGAATGGCGCTGTTACTACGAGACCAAACAGCTCTGCAAGAACGCAATTATTTTTTGTTGCTTTGCAGTAACTTCAACAAATATTAGACTACTTTTCTAAGATTCCTATGAAGAATTCAATTAGAGATTAAAAAATGCGACATGTTAAGACTCGTTTCGCAAAAAAAAACCTACCCTTATCACTTATTTTCGCCAGGCAGTCATGTCATACCATACCAGCTTTGTAATATGTCGAATGAAACAGCTTCAAGAACAGCAAGAGCATGACATGTAAGTCATCACATTTCATGATTTTTCATGTTATGACTAGTTAGACATGTTCGTCGTACAGTCGTGTTATGTCATACCAATTTTAAAGTAATCATAAGTGGCTAGATAGTACGGTCCAAGTTGCCGAAGTTCGCCAAGAAATGTTTGGAAGTTCACCGGAGTAATTGTGCGGAGGTTCTCTAACGTCAGGTTGAAGTCGACCTCGAGAGAAACTTCGGTGCTCTGTGTGCTTCGCGTGTGATGGCCGGTGGCTCGCAAGAGCTACAGCCCCAGCGGCTTTCGATGTAGGGGTTGCCGGGGGGGGGGGGGGTTCAAGGCTTCAGCACAGCGCGGCTGTGATTGATGGTCTCGAAACTAAGTTGCCCGTTTCTCTTGCTGACCTTTTGCCGCATTGTGTATAGCTTTCTGAGGCAGGTCCTGTTTCTGTGATTGTGTTTAGCACTTGCCGTATTCGTGCGTTCAAAGCTGCAGCAACAGCGTGTTTCTCGACGCTTGGCGAGCACGCTGCTATTTCGGATCTAATTGGAACGGACAGGGCCTGATTGATTGGGGACGAGCACGGCGAGGTTAGGATCGAGCGACCGTGTCGAAGCCACGAGTTGCAGCATCGTCACAGGCTACCAGGCTTGCACAAAGCCTTCGTGCCTTAAATGGACATCACGTCGGCGTCGTTGCCTAACCGCGTAGTGTCCGATTGCATGCGACGGGAATCGTGTAGACCTGCCACCGTAATTTTCGCGACGCTTAATCTGAAGCCTACGGTCAATGAAATGCCGAGTACGCGTAGCTCGTTTAAACTCCCGAGCGTTCATTCGAAAAAAAAAAACTATTTTCAGCATTGTCGTTAGTCAGTTTAGATTTTTTTTTTCCAATAGAGAAATGAAACATCCGTTCTCGACAGTGGCACTGAAGTGCAAGGGCTGACGTCACTGCTTCGGCAGTGTGGTTTTGCAGAGGGTTCGTTGCTCTTGCGCCCAAGGAGCCTTCTATTAAAAGGTGTAATGTTGGCATTAAGCAAAAAAATTGCCCGCAGCTTCCCTCGGGGGAACACTGAGGAGGATGCGGAGCATATAATTGGTTAACGGGGTGTTAAATTGCGACTTACTTGGGTCGATGGCTAAATTGGTTAACGTGGTTGTGAAATGGGGTGTTAAATTGCGACTTACTTGGGTCGATGGCTAAATTGGTTAACGTGGTTGTAGGAGGGGGTGTTAAATGAGTGAACACGTACACACGTATGCGAAAGGGCGGCGCTGGTCGAAGGGACGTCGATCATTGTGTTTGTGGATTCGTTGGAATTCATTTCACCGCGACCTTGGACGTCGACGCGCCGTACAAACCAACCGACGAGCGGCAACTGAGCGAGCGAGCGCCGACCTTGAGTATATATACAGCACGACGGCGCATGCACTGTCAGCTGTTGAATGTTCTCGAAGCGCGACGCCACATGCGCGTCCACTGGAGAATCAGAATTGTAGATGTTGAACGCGGTGTGTAGAGGAGGAAGGGTGCACAGATGGTGGAGGAGTGAAGCGCGCGCGGTGTGTAGAGGAGGAAGGGATGCACAGATGGTGGAAGAGTGGGCGACGGCGCGACGGCGCATGCGCGCGCGTCAGCTGTCGAATGTTCGAGAAGCGGTGCGGACGGCGCGGACGGCGCACTACAAGGCGCGAGTATAAGATGCTTCCGCATCTAAAAGTGGAGGTGGACGCTGCTTTCTACATACCCGTGAGTGTCGTTTCACCAGAGCCATGGCATTTGTCAAAAGGCCTCCCCTCGCAATAGATGTGCTGTGCTGCACCCAAAACCAGGGAGAACATTCTAGCAATTCTAGCCTTCTAGCTACGCTTAAATTTTGGCAGTGCGTGGTTGAATCAAGATCGTACGTGAATGTTGAAGAGTTTGGCAAATCTGAAAGGAGTGAGAGACTGTCCATAATATAAGAATCGCGAATGCGTTGTTGTGTCGCTCGATTGAAATTTACGTCAGTAGCCACCGACTTAAATGACGCGATTTTCAAGAGTGTGGGTGAAAAGTATTATCGCGACGCGCATGCACTGCCGATAAGTTTTGCACAACTGCGGAATAAGCAAAACGTACTGTAGCAAGGTGCATGTGGCTGATAAACTAAATTTATGTACGAAATGGTGGGTTGCCGGTGTGACCTAGGTACATGAAATTTCTGAAATCGGCGCTGGTGCAACAGTGAAGGGCGACGAACGGGCACCCGGGATCTCGCGTTGATCCCCGACCGGCGAAAAGCTTTCTGCGCCAAGTTATGCTGAGATTGCAGGTATCTGTACCCACATCTGACGTGTGTGCACATCTTCAATCAAGCACGCACAGGACAGTCTTAACGGTTTCTTTCTAAATCCAACACCCTATATGTGTTCATCTCGAAAACATTTGCTTTCAATAACTGCCATCGTGCCCGTGGTGCCCAAAGCAATGCGTTTGTTTTTGGCCCTTTGAAAAGTAATACGGAAGTGATTACATTGTCTCCTACAGATGAAATTGGATGTAATTAGCTATTGTGAGCAGTTATTAGTTGAAGCTTCGCCTCGCATTATATATAGTCGCACGTCGGCAGGGTAATTCGCCGGGTGCCGGCCTACTGCGCTTTTGATGCGCAAGTGGCTTTGAAAAGAGGAAAAGGGAAGAAAAAAAGCGCAGCCCGTTACTGCCTCTCTCTATTGAGGGCACCTCTACAGTTATGCGCAGGGAAGGGGGAATGGGAATTAAAGAGACAGAAGAGAAGAGGTAAGAGAAGGGTAGGGAAAAGCGCATAACAACGCGTAGTCTTTCGTTCAGGCAAGTTAGCGAATGCGCATCGAGACGCAGAGAGTACGAAATTTGTTTTTATATTTTTTTCTTTGCTTTATCGCTAATAACGCCACTTTGGTTCTATCTCTATAGCCTGCCTTTTTTTTTTTTTTGGCAGCATACTATATACACCACTTGTTTATCTTAGCTTCTGACCTGTCAATGCATGCTATTCAGAGGTGAGCAAATTTCACGAATCGTGATGCATGAATATCCTTATATATAATATATTTACAGTTTGGACTATGTCGCTGTTTTCGATATATCGCACAAAGTCGCAAAGCTACTTGTAGCAAACGATCACGAATGCGCACATCGGCGCAGTCGCTCGCTGTTCGATGTTTCAGTCACGTGATTGCAGTCGCAAACTTCCGACAAAAACGAACAGAAACACGTCAGCTTATTTTACATGTAAGATGTGCGTGCAGATGCGAATTAGACATGGCGACGGGTTGTTAACATCGGTCGCCTTGAGTCGCTTCTTGGTCACCAGCCGAGTGCTAGTCGCAAGCTTATCGAATGAACCCTAACGCCATAACCTTTGCCTCACCTGTCGAGTACCGGGTCGTAAGCTTCGACCGAGTCCAGGTATTTACTTCCGTTGTGCCCCCCGACGGCGTACAGTCTTCCTGCTAGACTGGCGACGCCCACACCGCCTCTGCTGGTGCTCATGGGCCGCACACCAACCCACCGATCTAGCTCGGCGTCGTACCGTTCCGCCGAGCTTAGAGGTAAGTTGTTGTCGAAGCCCCCTGCATGGAACAACGGCAAGTGTCAGCGGCATGCTCAGCTGCAGAGCTATATCATTGGATGCAAAGTTCATGTTACTTAGTTGATATAAAGGACAAAGAGACGGGTGCTTCGTGCGCAGCTCAGCGAAAAGTTAGAAACCATCGATTGCTAAAGGCTATAGGTACTGGTTTCCGCACACCTGCTGAGACGTGCTGTTGGCGACTTCTGTTGGTGGCTTGATTCTTTATTACTGCTAAGAGAATGCGTCTTGTGTCGTTGGTAAATCCAAGATCGGCTCGTGGGAAGTATGACAAAGCTTTCGCACTGGTATTCTATTACATCGCCACATTTGATTACACTCGCTCCCGAAGTTCTCTCGGCCAGACAGTCGTCCGGAGACTTATGAACCATGTACAGAGTTTCAGAAAAATAATAAAAGAAGCATGTGTGTGAAATAGAGGGAAAGAGGGAGGGAGGGACGGGGTGGTTAGTGCAGCAAATAGGCTTCGCAATTGCGCCAAAGTACGCACGGGGAAAATTATGCTCGGCTCCCTCCCAGCCAATGTGTGCAGTCCGAAAACATTTTCGGGGTTTTTGAGAATCCTTGTGATTACCCGAGCAATGTGGCCAAAAGAAGCTCTGATTTGACAGAAATACCCATGGTGTTAAAAGCGTAACAACCAATGTTTTGTTTAAGCATGCGCAATTGATTTCTATGAAAAAGTAAGCGTGGGCACCCCTAGGGATAAACTGAGAACACTTTTCAAGAAAGAAAAAAAAAAGAGGGACTACGCGCGTTGCTTTTTGCACCGAGCAAGATAATAAGCAAATAATAAGGTACTGCATACTGCAAGATATCAATCTCAATGGTAAACAGCCTTATGTCATTTCTCAAGCTATAGGATTGTATACTTAACTCTTCCTACACCCTTCATTTCCAGGACATTTAGGACTGCAATAGGAGTGGAGTTTTTGGGCAAAGTAATGGTGAGTTGCTTACTCCACATATATCGAAACAAGGTATCAACGGAAATCGGCCGCAACCATGGTGGCCGCAACAAGAGATACGCCTACCACAGCAGTTTTGTCCATGGTGCCTTACCTATGTCGACGCGATTACCAAATGCAGGTCGCAGGCTTGTTGCAGTGCGCGAAATACCAGCTGCTAGTTTTCACCATTCGCTTACGGAGAAGGCAAGATAGTTTAGTGTTCTCTTAAGGGTTCTGTACCCTCTTGGTGCAGGGGCGGATTCAGCCGCTCATATTACGAGGGCGGTCGCTTGAAGTAACTCGGGAGAGGCGGATGGCGTCGTTACTTTTTTTTTGTTTTTACTGGCACAAAAAAAATCACTATAATAGCATAAATACTGTTAATATGTGCTCACAGTGGTCCCAATCATTAAACCTAATCGGTGATAGGAGGTGAACAGCCATGACTGAAGAGGGCGTTGGGTGAAGAGACAGGCTTTGGCGGGAGGGAGGCGATCGCCCCCTATCTCCCCCAAGAAATTATATCGAAACTAATGTAGCAGGAGTTTCACTAACAGAACTCACAGACGGTGCATGTCACACGATGTCATACGACTAAGCTTTATTTTGTCTGTATACGATCTGGTGTATTTATTTTAATCCTGTTGCGTTTTTGTCAGTTCTACTTTGTATTGATTCTTTTGAGTAAGGTTCAATTATGTTAATTTTGTCATGATTCTAGAATGATTATGTCTTTATGTTTTGGTCTTCCACTCCTGTAATAGCCCTGAATAAGGGCTAACAGTATCTGTAAATAAGTAAATAAATAGATAATAAATAAATAAATTATCACGTTTTGCAACTGTATCACAAATGACTAAACATTAAGAAAAAAACTTAGAACGATGTACTGTAGCCAACATGAAGGTGCAGAGCGTGGGAGGCTAGAGAAGGAAAGTTAAAAAATAAGTACACGCAGTCAGGCGTATGCTCTCAGCGTATAATTCCGGAATTGGATTACACTATTCCAACAGCACAGGCTCTGTTTGCGAAAAATCCAATAGAATTTAATGGTGTACTCTCGGCGACATTTCTTGGCACTGAAGCGAAGGCCGCCGAGCCGAATCGTGTGCATCCTACCGCCAGTGAATGTAGTTCCACAATAGCGCCCGTATTTTTCACCGTGAAGTATAAAAGTTCCCCCTTTATTTTCTACGTGGAGCAATTTCAGACAGGACGCCGCTCACAGCAGTAAAATATTAGTTTTTTTAAAATTTTGATCGTTGTGAATTTGTGTTTTTGAACGCGCGAGAATGTCCCGTTTTTTGCGTGTGTACCTCAAACGCCGAGGGGGCGTCTGCGTCGACATGAAACTAAGGTCCCTAGATGAAACAAGTTTCCAAGGTAGCGACACCCTCCCTTTTCTTCCTCGCTTATTTGCCTGAAGCGCCCCCTAGAAGGTTTAAAACTTTCATCCAAAAGTGAATGTTTGGGTTCTGTTGCTACGGTGAATAGATGTAAATGAAACAAAATGGAACGAAATAAGACGTAGAGTAAACAGTTACCTTTATGAACATAAACGGCACAACACAAGAGCAAGCGGGATGTGCGTTACTCAACCGGCAACGTTGGGCAGTTCTATACTTTACACCACTAGCCATGGCTAGGGTGGCTAGAATGGGGAGGTGTGATAACTGCGGCGGCGGCCTCTTGCCTAGCGAGGCCCCTCTGCGCGTTCTCGCCGCTGGGGGGAAATTTGGCGCGTCAGTCTGGGGCGCTGTTGGCATGTGCCGACTGTGAGCGTGTGTCCTTCACATTCTTCTCAGTCCCTTCACATTGAAAGTTGCACCCAAGTTAACACGTTCTCACATATATCCTAGTGGGTTCGAAAAGATGAGGGTCAATCTGGCTTTTTATATTTTCAGTAGTGCAGTTGAGCACGCGATGGATTTTCACAAAGAAAAAATTGAGCAACAGTACCCAAATCAGGAGCCAACAAAAGTATTTATCAACATGATGGCTCAAACAATTGACGCCATGACGTCGCGGTTTCCAGCAGAAGCTCTGAGGTATGTACACCAACTGGGCTCATTTTCATGTGAAGACGTAAATACTTTTCATGTTTCAGACGTGGCAGCACTAAAGAAACTGCACTTGACAACATGCTGGAATTTCTCGACCAGTGGGAGGCCCATGCAGGAGGGCTCGGCTTCTTAAGCAAGAGCATGGCAGAAGGTCTACGTGTGACGATCCACTCTGCGAAGGACCTACTGAAGTACCTCACTGAAATGGTTGGGTTTAGGTTTTTGATGACCTCCCGTCTCAGTCAAGACTGTTTGGAGCGTTCCTTTGGTATCGTCAGACAGGCCAGTGGAGCTAACGATCACCCAACTCCTGCGCAGTTCATTATCATAATCAAGTATGCTTGTGCATTTTCAGTCCTGTACATTGAAATACGAAGCATATAATCCAAAGTATCAATTTTTATAATTTACATGTATATATGCAGGTGCATAAGCTTTTATAGCTTGGCGAAAAGCCCCAAGGGAGCAAACGTATCTCCTGGACTTTTGGAGGCCCTGCTGTCCGAGGACCATCAGCTGTCTGAAAATGAAGCACCAGCTTGTGACGACGTTACACTACCTGTCGAAGCAGCAGAGGTTGTGATTGACCACGCTGACTACGTTGAAGAACGCAGTGATGACCGCCTCACCTATTATATTGCAGGATATGTAGCCAGGAAGCGGATCTTCTCAACCCAATGCGAAGCTTGCAAGGATGCCTGCCTCGTCACACGTGATAGCGTGACGGATCAATTGCCAGCAGAAGCGTGTAAAAAGTGGGACATGGGCGGCCTTCTTTACCCCTCTGTCCGTCTATATAGTCTAATCAAAACCCTTGAGGATAGACTAACTCGTGCATTTAACACCACGCGCTTGCACACCAAAGTAGTGAAGGATTTTTTGCGCCTAGCAGCCAATGTGCCACAAATTGGCTGCAGTGAGCATTCAGCTTCTTTAACAACATCGGTTGTCAGGTTCTACAGCATTACGCGTGTCCATTTTCTGCTGAAAGGGCTAAACCAGCATGCTGTGCAGAATAAAGCCAAGAAGGTGAAGCCCTGCGTTATGTAATGTTTTAATGTACTGTTTCCAATAAACTTGTATCAAGCCACCAGTCTTGTAGTCTTGTACTTTATTGCATTTTTCTGCCGCACTGCATAAAAACTGCATTGACTTCCACTCTTTAAAGTACTATTGCAATCGAAAATGTATAACAAATATGCGAGCGACACACGCAGGGTTGTTGCCACCTGCTGGTCTGCGGGAGAGATTCCTCTAAACTATTTTTCGAGTGACAAGCGCGCCCACCTCGCAAGAAGTGGCCGCGAAACCCACGCTCTGTATCGGCTGCGTGGTTTGCGCTTGTAGATTACACGTGCAAGTTTCTCGACGTCAACAACATAATTGAAAAGACTACAGCGGTAAAACTGAGCGCGGTCGAATCATTTACCCGCCCAGAGGCAAGTAGACGACGCGAGAAAAGCTCAGGATGGATGGATGGATGGATGCTATGAGCGTCCCCTTTATAACGGGGTGGTGACAAGTATGCCACCAGGCTCGACAAAAAAAAAAAATAACTTTTTTCTTTTTTTTTTTATGTTGGCCTAATGCCTCTACTTCGATAAATTCTATCTTAATGGAAAAAAGGTAAATTTTCAGCTTAAGTTCTCTGCCATTTACGGCACACTGTCCATACTTTATTTTTCCAATATTTATTTTTGTCCTTTCTCTCTAATTTTCTGCCACCAATACTCTAATCGTCTCTTACTTATTTCAATCGCGGGTGTGTTCAGCTTTCCATTGTTGTCCCTAAAACCCAAGGCTTCCTGTAGGCTCGTGCCCAAACGTACACCTGGGTGGATATCTCCACATTCAATCAGAACATGCTCCGCCGTTTCCTTATCTTTCCCGCAGCATGTGCATTGTTCTTCTTCTTTACTGAATCTTGCTTTATAACTACGCGTTCTAAGGCAACCCGATCTCGCTTCAAACAGTAAAGCGCTTCCCCTTGAATTATCGTAAAATGCCTCCCTCCTTATTTCATTTTTGCCCTTTCGGTAGTTACTCAAAGCCGGTTTTTTCTCCATAGCTGCCATCCAGTAAATCCTCTCCGCCTCCCTGACTTTTCCCTTAACGCTCTTTGTTGACATATGGCTCACAATACCAGCCGTATATTTACTAGTGAGTCTTCTAGTTCTTTTTCTCCACTGTGTGTCCACGCTCTTCCTATACAAATAACGGAACACCTTCTCTGCCCATCTACTCTCCTTCATATTTCTTAGCCTTTCTTCGAACCTTATTTTGCTCTGCGCTTCCCTCGCCTCAAAACCTGCCCACCCCATATCGCCCTTTACAGCCTCGTTTGTCGTCTTCCCGTGAGCACCCAACGCGAGGCGTCCCACAGCTGTCCTTTGATTTACATCCATTCCCGATTGCACCTCTGCCCTCATGCACACCACTGAGTTCCCAAAAGTAAGCCCTGGAACCATTACACCCTTCCACAGACCTCGAAGCACCTCATACCTATTGTATCCCCACAACGCTCTGTGCTTCATTATTGCCGCATTCCTCTTTCCTTTTGCTGCCGAGGCTTTTTCCTGTACCTCCATGTATCTATCACTCTCATTTACCCATACTCCAAGGTACTTGTATTCACTTACCCTCGGTATTTCTTGGCCTTGTATGGACACCGTCTGATCACAGGGATCATTGAATACCATCAATCCACACTTCGTTACACTGAATCCTAGTCCAAGGGCTTCACCTTCCCTTCCGCATATATTCGCCAGCTGCTGTATATCATCTCGACTGTCCGCAAATAAGACGATATCGTCCGCATAAAATAAACCTGGAAGCTTCTGCTCAATCATCATGCCGCCCTGTTTGTGTGACAGATTAAAACCAATGTTGCTACCTTCTAGCGCTTTTTCCATATTCACCATGTACAGCATGAATAACAGTGGGGACAAAGGACATCCCTGTCTCAGACCCATGCTAACCTCAACGTTCTCTTTGCTACGCATTCCTTCCCACTCTATGCAAACTGTATTTTCTCGGTATATCTCCCTCAAAAGCTGTATACAGTCGTCGCCCATGCCCATTCCTTTCAATATATCCCACAAAATTTCCTGATTAACGTTGTCGTATGCCCCAGTGATGTCTAGAAAAGCCACGTACAAGGGCCTATTCTCTATTTTAGATATTTCTATACACTGAGTGAGAACAAACAGGTTATCGTCTAACCGCCTGTCGACTCGAAATCCGTTCTGAAGTTCTCCCAAAATATCGTTATGTTCGGCCCATGTTTCTATTTTCATTTTTACTGCTTGCATCGCCAACCTGTATAGTACCGATGTAATGGTTAGTGGTCTATACGAGCGAATCTTGTCCTTTTCTCCCTTGCCTTTATAGATTAAGTTCATTCTACTTTGTCGCCAACTGTCCGGTATTTGTCCGTCCTTTAAGCTTTTTTCTACTGCTTTTAACAATGCTTCTTTAGTGTTATGTCCTAGTTCGTTAATGAGGCTAACGGGAATCCCATCTCAGCGCCCCCACCGGCAGCGCCACCGCGCGGCAGGAACGCGCTTTTGGGCCAGCCTCCGGAGGTCGGTCATCACACCTCCCCATTCTAGCCACCCTACCATGGCGTCTCGCGTAGTACATTTTAGTTCCACAGCCGTGGTATTTCGTCCAGTTCTAACTAGTCCACTTCTCTGATTGTGTTTTGTTCGTGCTGTGATACAGTGAACGTGATTTTTGCTGGATCATGTAAGTGGCCACAGGGCGTGACGTTGTGACGATTGATTACAACCGGCTTGTGCACACGCAAGAAAAAAACTACGACCAGACTGGTACGAACACTCGTCCAGCAGCACTGCGATGACGTTTTTTTTTTTTTTAATGTGCCCATTTGGACAATCGTGATGCCAAGTGATTCTGATGCGGTGCTGGGAACTTCCTGAAAAGTGAGAGTTCTATACTGGTGAGGTGTCTCGAAGCAGCGCGTTTCGGCTCAAGTGGGAACTGGTGAAGAGTGAAATGTTTCTGAAGGTGCGTTGATTACAACCTACAGCTGTTCTGTATACGTGCATACCCACATGTATTTGTACCAACTGGCATGCACTAGACACGCATTAGACGCGCGCCTGGCGTTTCAATAAAAACCGACAAGTGAACTCGCTTCGCAGATCCGCGTCGACATACGTTGACGGAGTTGCACGAAAGCATTCGCGTGAAATGGTTCATAGTTGCACTTCATGGTGCGCGTCATCTCGGAAAGCACGAGGTAAGTTGAAGAGAGCGAAACCATTTTCTGTTGTTTACGGCAACGCAGCATTGCTGAAAAACGCAGATGTTGCATTGAACGAGCATGGCGAAACAATCTTGGTCGACTTAGCGCACACCGAAACGCTCCTCCTCTTCAGTTTATGTTCTGGCTACGATTTTGTCTTTGGTCACGGCGAGAATCCGGCTGGAGCCATATGCGCATGCGTACTCGTTTTGAACCTTTTGCATAATAATAAATAACACCACCAGCCATTTGCAAGATCACGTGCAAGTAATGCACCAATTACAGACGCGGATATCAGAGAAAAAGAGGAGTAATCTAGAGAGTGAGGAGGACGGCTCGAGAACAATGAGTGACGCTACCTTGTTTCATCTAGGGACCTTACATGAAACGCTGATGGTGCGCCCCCATAACTTTCCACAGCGTTACGAAGCGCGTGCCGAATCGGACTACTGCGTACATGTGTGGATGATCCGCCCCCGCAGCTTTCCCTACAATGCCAAAAATGTGTCGTCATTGTGTTCACCTGAGGCAGTGAACACAATGATGACGTCATGTACATGCTGCCAGCACATGTGCAGTTTTGTTCATTGCGTTTCGGTAACGACACACGCTTAATTAGAAGAAAGTGCGCGTCATCACTTCATTCTGCGCGGAAGCTACGGTGCTAAAGCATATTTGTTTAATTTTCTCTTCTGGAGTGTGACAAGCTGTTGTTTATTGGGGTGACTTGCGCATGACTGCACACGTTTTTCAAGCGTTCCATGTGCTCGGTACATTCAACGAAATGCAGGCAGGCGCGATAAGCTGAGATTAAGTTCGTTGCGTCAATGTATGGCTTCGCGTGAAGCGTATGAGTCGCCTTCACTTAGTAAACGGCTGGTTGCGAAAATGGCGCAAAAAAAGTGCCTTAATTTCGGCGTGCAGCAATTTGTGCGAGCACGAGTACAATTTGTGGGAGCACGAGTATTGCACGACTTATTTTCTATGATAGAAAAACGCAAAGACGTCTTTCGGGAGCAGTAGCCGGAGCACATGCTGGAAACTTCGTCAGCTTGAAAAAATAACAAGGGGCAAAGTTTACGGTCTACCTCCCCCCCCCCCCCCCTCTTTTTTTTCCTTCAGCATTCGGATCCGTGTGCAGCAAGGGACGCAGCAATACGTCAGCATTGCGATTATCTTATCAGCCAATACACGCCTCGCATCGATACGGCTTGCGTATACGTATATATGTAAACAAGCGCGGACCTGTGCGTATACTGCAATGCGATGAGCCTCTAACATGGCGGCAATGCATACGATAGATGGCAGCAACTTTTCATAAGGTGTATGCGCATATCCCACGCCCTTACACGCAAGGGACAAACGAGTCTCTTTGCCATCGTCTTCAGTGAACGTATAGTTGTTCTAAACGCGCAACGAATTAGTTGACTATAAACACGCAACCGGTGGCGCCTCACGTGAAACTTTCACATCAGTTTTACTTTGCACGAATGCTCCTCAGCCAGCGTGCAATATTATTAAATATATTTTAGTTTAGATGACAGCGCGTTGTGGCACAAACACGCTCTTTCGGGATGGCTGACTCAGTGGCGTCATGTTAAAAGTTCGTGCATGATGAATCTGCACTCGCCTACAACATAGATGAAGCCGTCGAGAGCGACTGCCCCAGCTCCGGCCCGGCGCTGATTCGTCTCGGCCACGTACGACCACTTGTTCAGGTGAGGGTCGTACTTCTCGCAAGTGCTCAGCGACGTCTGACCCACGTTTCCGCCTATGGCGTAGATACAGTCCTGCGGACGTAAACATGATCGACTGTCAACTCTCGTCTACACATTAAAAAAAAAAAGAGGTGTTAAAGGAGTGCAAAACTTCACTTCAAAGTTCTATAGTGAGAAAGTAAAGTGGCTGTGTGTGACATGATTGATTGATTTGTGGGGTTTAACGTCCCAAAACCACCATATGATTATGAGAGACGCCGTAGTGGAGGGCTCCGGAAATTTTGACCACCTGGGGTTCTTTAACGTGCACCCAAATCTGAGCACACGGGCCTACGACATTTCTGCCTCCATCGGAAATGCAGCCGCCGCAGCCGGGATTTGAACCCGCGCCCTGCGGGTCAGCAGCCGAGTACCTTAGCCACTAGACCACCGCGGCGGGGCTGTGTGTGACATGAATGCCCGAGTGTCGCGCTACACTACACTATACTACTATGGAGGAGGTCATGACACTACGCAAGATTAGCTACGATTTCTCCGACTTTTGAATGTGATTGCATTGAAACCTGTCGGTATCGTTTACTTTGCCCTGGCAGATCTTGGAATGCTGTACAGCTGCCGCGTCGAATAGACGGAATCAGTGGAATCCTGAATGTGTGTTTAATATTCGGGGCCTCCATACACGTACGGTAAGAAAATGGATCATGTCAAATGAATTACGTGTTCCACGTGGATATCCAGGGCTGGCTTATTTGTTGCACACCTTAACGTGTGTTGTGCTCTGTAAGCATTGAGTCCATGCCTGCGTTCTTTTTTTTTTCGTCTACGTCATTTAAATGTTACAATTGTATAACATACTGTGCCAGCAAACAATTATTTTCATTTCCCACGCCTAGCAGTGGAACACTCATAGGAGAACAGAAGATTATTGTTACTTTACAGTGCGGTGTTTTTGTTCTACATGAGACTGATAGTACTCAATATATTTATTTTATTTATTTTTATTTTATATGCTACCCGCGTGAAGATTATGCTGACCTTTAGGACAGCGATGGCAACTCCCCCTCGCGGCGACTTCATGGGGGCGACCATTGTCCAAGTGTCCGACTGACTGTCGTAGCGCTCGACCGTGTTGAAGTACGTCGTGTCGTCCATGCCTCCGATGGCGTACAGGGGACCACTCAACTCGCAGAGCCCCAGGCCGCGCCTGCGACATGCCAGAAACGAGCACGTGGTACCATGTCTGGTTGGATGGCAACTATGGACGTCTGTGCCGAATGTCATGAGAACAACATTAAGCGGCTAATGTAATGAGGATTTTACAGCTAAATGAAATTATAAATAATGATGAAAATGAAATATTAAAGAAAGTCCTAGCGTATAAAGTGAAAGAACGAAGGAAGGAAGCTATAAAGGAGCATCTCTCCACATTGTTTTTTTTTCAGCATACCTGATTAAACGAATCTAGTGCACGCTGTGACATCCTTTGTCAATTAGCCTTTCTCGTTATGAGCTGATTCGTCCTCGCGTTGTGACGTGCCATCTTTTTGTTAGTGCAAGGTTACACTACGTTGGTCCAGCCAGGGTTTGAATGACGGAACATAAAGAATCCTTCCTCTGAAGCAAGCAAGGAAGCAAACAAAAAAGACAAGGAAACAGAAAAAAAATTTACGATTTTTTTTCGCTTCGTGCTTCAATCGGGTAAATGCAAAAAAAAAGTGTTTCCTTTCACAAAACTTTCGTCACCTCACGAAATTCCACAGGATCGATTAACCAGCTTGAACTCATCGGTACAATTAAATGGATGTGCTAGAAATTAAAGTTCGTGTTTTGGAAATTGTTCTTTTTGTCAAACAATGGTGCTAAATTGCTGGCAGCCTTCGCATGAGCGCTGAAATTGAGAAAGGCGTAATATGCATAATAAAGACACAAAATATTTGTAGTATCTCTAAACGCCGGCATGCCGAAGTATAGTAAACAGCATTGAATGTGTTGGAGCGCACAAGCATTCTATAGACTACCAAGTGATTGCGCTATACCACTTTCTATGGGTGTCTACGTTTAGGGAAGTGCAATTTAACCTACCTGGGGACGTTCATGGGACATATCAACTTCCAGCTGTTGTTTGCGGGGTCGAATACTTCGGCGCTCGCAAGGTGGTGTTTGTCGTCGCTTCCGCCCACGGCATAGAGTTTTCCTAGACAAGTACAAACGTAAAGTCCACACTTCGACATTTTTGTTTTGTGGCGACGAAGTGAGGCACGCGCATGCAGGCAAACCGAGCGAAGAGCTTACCGTCCACCGACGCGACACCTACGTGTCGACGCCTGGTGGTCATGTCAGTTGCCTTGAGCCACTTGTTATCCGCAATGCTGTAGAATTCCGTGGACGATGACGGCTCCCCGCTGGCGTCTCGGCCCCCAACGCAGAATATGGTGCCTGAAAAAAAGAGTCGTCCTATTTTTCCTAGCACGAATACCAAAAAAAAAAAAAAAAATGGTGCCCCCCCCCCCTTTTTTTTAGCTTCCAGTCGTTCAGGTTTGTCGTGTTGTTTTAGATTTTTCTTCAGATGTAATAACCACTATCGCCTTTGCCTTTCTTATGTCTTTAGCTTTTCTGTAACCAACTGGTTAAGTCTAAGACATAACGGAACGCATGCAGACCGGGGGTATCTGAAGCTGCTGCACCCGGTTTCGGCTCGTCCATTTCGTGTTTCGCAGGGTCCAGGCTTCATAATGGTGCGTCGTTAGGTATCACTGGGTGTTGACTTTGAGCGGTAACTGAACGTATCGACGAGTATCCAACGTTTGCCGTAGTATCGAACCAGGATTAACCCGAAAACGCCTTATATACGCGGCTGTTTATTGGATTGTTTGGCGCTCATACCGGCATAGCTATGGCGGGGCCTAGATCGTTCACCAGGTGCCGGTGGTGTGCCAACGAGCAGGCCGGCCTTCCAGAGCTGCTGGTCGCGTGCTTCGTCCAGTAGGTCACGGCACCTGTGGCAGTTTCGCAGCAACTCTTCGTCCTCGGAACGACGGCGCACGTAGCCAGGAGGTAGCAGTGGCAGGCGCACCCGAGACAGCAGGCTCGGCAGGTCCGCCGTCCGTGAGGCGGTGTCGTGGCGTACCCAGCTCATCAGGGCTTCGTACACCTGCGACCGAGGGCCCACTTTGGAAGACGCTTTCGTGCGCTCTGTAGTAAACGACGAGCGCTCTCTATTCACCATGCACAACGCACTATTGATTGATTTCTGGGGCTTAACGTCCCAAAACCACAATTTGATTATGAGAGGCGCCGTAGTGGAGGGCTCCGGAAATTTTGACCACCTGGGGTTCTTTAACGTGCACCCAAATCTGAGTACACGGGCCTACAACATTTCCGCCTCCATCGGAAATGCAGCCACCGCAGCCGGGATTTGAACCCGCGACTTGCGGGTCAGCAGCCGTGTACCTTAGCCACTACACCACTACGGCGGGGCCACAACGTACTATTAGAGATGGTATTCGGCAAATACTTCTTACAAGTCGGCGTCCTCACCATATTGTTTGAAGAGCTTCTCGGAGCTCATGTAACATAAGCTGCTACCGCATTGTCAGTCTTTGAGTCATTGCTGAATATTTTAGCTGTTAGAGAATGTTTTCGTTAAGGTATATCCGTCATTTGGCAATCTTAATTTCCTGGCGGTGATTGAATTAACAAAGGATTAACCTGTAGCGTCAGTTAGCTCACAAAACCATCATGAGACGTGGAACGCAGGCGCACACCTTTGGTTTGTCTCCCGTTTCTGATGCTTCCTGCTCGCTTTCACTGTGTTCGCACTTCTGTAAGTGTGCGTGTTCACTGAAGTTGTGGCAACGTCGTGCGAGGCATGTCACATCCTTATAGCCTTTTTGAGCCGCGGCTTTAGCTCCTTGATATGTCATTTTCAGTGTATTTTGCGCCTGAGAAGACACCCCATGCATGTGCGTGGCTTGCTGTCTGGTGCTCGCGTTAGAGGCTCACCAATTGTCGGCAGGCCATAGAAACGGGACGTTAGAACACCAAACGTGAACCCTATACGTGCATAACTAGCAACGTTGCCGCTGAAAAAAAAAAAAAGGTTGGGTGAACACATCTCCCACACAAATATTCTAATGTCCGTTCGGTTCTCACCGTTTTTATTTGCGAAACTGAAACCAACTTGCGAGGCCAATTGGAAGAGCATGGTACTCCACCATGATGATGAGGGGATGAGGATTCGCGTTGCTGGGGGCATAATGACTGAACGTGTCGTTTAAATGACGTCATTGTTCTTCCAACTTGAAGATCCCGGCCTACGAATGTTCAGCGCGTCGTTTCCGGAGTATTTTGACACACGCGCGCTTCAACAGAATTGAATTGCTGCGTGTATAGGTTTCCAGGGGCGTTAATGTAGGTGGACTCGCGTGCAATGTGCTCCTAATTTGCATCAGCCCGACATAAATTGATCGAAATCAACACAATTGCCTTAATAACGGCGCAAAAACAGAAGAAGATAGAAACATAATTGGTCTTCTTGTTGTTGCACGTACTGTTTTCAAGATCAAAACTAATCAATTTGTCCAAATCTCTTCGGTGTTAGTCTCTTCTGTTAGATCTCTTATTGCAATCGACTACAAGAGAAAGGGAGATATGAAGTGGCTTTTTACTTCGAGTCGCATAAGGGCACAGGCGTGCGTACGGGAAGGGCGAGGGAAGGAAAGGGCAAGAAGGCTTCTCTCCCCCATCTGGTCACCTCAGATGGTAGGGGTGTGCAAAATCTTCCCTATACATTGACTTAGTAGGGAGAGAGGTGCTGCGATAAACCTTCGCCCCCCCTCCCCTCCCCCCCTTACCCGCTCCCTCAAAGAGAACTTGGGAAGCGTGTATACTTCTTTACATTCAAAGCAGGGAATGGAAATATGGCCGAACACGTGCCTGTGCCTCGGACTCCACGGCGAGGTCGGAGGCGACCAATAGCCTGGCAAGGTGCTGCGAGCCGAGAGCGAGGAACTCCCTGCCGGTGGCCACCTTCGAGAAGTGTCCTCGCGCGAACAGCTCGGCGCTGCGGGCGAGACCGCGCAGGCCGTGCGACTCGGCGAACTGCCACACGCCGAGAGCGTTGCTGGGTTCCAGGTGGGTTCGTACAAAGGCCGAGCAGGCGTGCGTCAATGGCTCCATTTGCAGCACCGACGAGGCGTGCAGAAGAGCCTGCGTGTGCGAAATACGCGGGCAAGCAGTGATCGACTCCGAGAGATGGTGCTTGTTCTCAAAGGGCCAGTCAACAAGCTCTGACGTTTAGGGTCGTATCTCCTTATAACGTGTCTTGTGCGTCCCTCGTTGTCGTAGTGCGTACACTGTGGCACATACCCGCATACCAGTGGCACATACTCGCCCTCGGGCACATATCTGCGTGTCCACATGTTACGAAAAGCGTAGCACAGCGTCGTTATCACACTCTCGGTGTTAACAAAACGCTGACAACAGAAATGTGGTACATGTATACTCTCGTTTAGTCCTTGGATTGTCCACTGAATGGTGGTACTTGTATATGATGAATATATGATAAAAAGAAGTGAGATGGTGGTACTTAAAGTTTTCACTAGATGGACGGACAGACGCCCGCATGGACAGACAGTCAAGCAGACGGACAGATAGACACATGGACGGACGGATGGACGGAGGGACTCGCGAACGGGCACGCGTATGGATGGATGGACGCGTGAACGGAATCTCGGACGGGTTGACGGACACTTCGCCCCACTCATCACTCATCATCATTCATTCTGCGGATATGCTGTGATTTTTTTTTTACACCCTCCCAAAGAAACTCGGCTTCTCGTAGAGTGGACCGCAGTGATCACGTTTTTCAAATAATACAGCGCTGCGCGCCATGTAAGACATCCATTTCGAAAAAAAAAAAAAATTCCGCGCTCACTTCCCACGCCTGACCAATCCTCCTTTCGCGCGCAGTGACGCAATCGGCGACTTCACGTAGCACGCAGCTCGTCGATTGGTGTAAACCAGTCACGACGACGGGCTTTGCCTTCCCCTCCGGGTGAGGGAGAAGGGTGGCGAGGCCGCGCAAAAATTTTAAATCAGCTGAAACCGCTGTTGTAACCCCTGTAATTTCCTTAATATAGCACGTATTTGCAAGAGTCTTGCGTCATCTGAATCCGTTGTTAATTAACAGGATTCATGCGGTGTTCTGTGTTCCTATATACAACATGCGATCAATGTTATCATACTATAGATATTTCTCATTTGACCTGGCGTTGCTCCGCGTTACGCAGCGACAAGGAAAATACCGAAGAACTATGGGACGCAGCTTTGCGCAGTACTACATTAGAGGGACAATTGGGGTCAGTCAGATGGGCCCACGAAGGCTAGTAGGTCTTTCACTCCCAACGTGGGAGCGGCCCGCTTCGGGCTAGGACACTAGCACGGCCTATTGGACTTTAATAAAGTTATTTTATCCATCCATCATGTTCACAAAGCAAAAGTGCACATATTTCTTTTTATAACAATTTTTGAACTACAGGATTTTTTACTGGCCCTTTAAGAAACTTTATTGGACTCTTTATTGCTTCTTCTTCTTTTTCTTCTAAGACAAAAAATAACTGTCTATATATCACGGTACCTATACTATCGGCATCGAACAAAACCTGGACAGCAGCAAGCATTTGCAAAGGCATAGACTGTTTTCCGTAAGACATCTGGGCTCCGTGATATCGGGCTGTTGGGATGATGTTTTCTTGTTTTTGTATATCGCGACGTGTAATAATGAGAGCATAAAACATTGTATGCAGCATAGTAATTACATAATGGTTTTGGGGCATCAAACCTCACTTATCAATCAATCAACATCGCATGCACCAAACCAACCGTGCTCATGCGTATGCGTAAACACAAACACTGTTCGCTTAGTTGTTAAAGATGCGAAATTGAAAGGTTAACAGCCGAACATTGCGCACCGTGTAGTCATCACCTATGACATGCGCGTGCATAAAGTTCTGCAGCACTGCGCATGCTCCTGTCCACGGATTGCGAACGCTTGCCGCTGTTCGGACATGGCCTCCGAGATTGGTCGTGGTTCGGGTTTCATTTGAAGTTAACTGTACACTGAAACGTGGGAACTTCACGGTGCGTACACATCATTCCTGTAGCACGCCACGAAATGTATATTTCACCTTGGCTTGAATCTCAAAGCCTCTGCATGTTCGCCCTCGCGAAATAATAAAGAGGATCACACAGTTTAGCCGATGTTCATGGAGTACTTCATTATTTCCATGGCTACGTATATGTCATAACCTTCAAACTCTTCTGCGCAAATTGCTGCTTCTCTCCAGAGAGCTCGCAGTCTATGCTAGGTCAGCATGCAATTGTGATACTAAGTGTCACGCAGTTGTGTAACTCATGGTATTACGTATGTGAGCGTTCTTAACGTGTCATAAGGTGGTGCTGAAAGGCGCCGAAGCAGGACCTCATCGTTGTCGTTTGATGTCCGTGATCGGTTTTTGAAATTACGATATTGAGGACAATCGAACAAATCAGTTTTTAATAACCATTGTCTCCCGCTGACTTTGAAATTATAATATTGTTGAATCCACTGTTAGGTAACGTGATGGCACAATCAAGTATTTCTTACCACGAATGCGCTTCAGTAGGGTTGATATTAGCGAGAACTAACAGACAACACTGCCAAAGAACGTATAGGGGATGTTATTAGAAGAACTTGTAATGTAAATGTGAATAAGGAAAAGTTACGAAAAGATAACTTTCCGTGGGCAGAGACCGAACCTGCGACTTTCGAACGCGACCGATGCCATACCACTGAGTTACGGCGGTGCACGTGATCCGCCATCCGTTCACTTTGTAAAGGTTGTATGCATGCATTTAAACGTGGGAGTGTCAGTCAGCACCACATGTGGCCATTGCGGTCAGTGTGGAACACTATTTTTGCCTGTTGGTGTCACGTAGCACGTGATCTCATCATGAGCTGGCTGCTGACCAATAATTCCTCGCGTAATATACCTGAAGACTCCAAGTCTTCCAGAGTGAGACACTCGCCATTACTGAAGGAAAAAAAATTGTAAGTTCAAGGGTTCGTTTTTTTAGACAGATTAATAATAAGAACAATGATACCAAGAGACGTATATGAGATGTTTTTAGAAGTAACTGTACTGAAAATGGGAAATGAAAAATGTGGACAAAAAGATATAACTTGCCACCAGCAGGATCCGAACCTTCCGCTCAGTAGGAACGGCGTTTATATTGGAGAGAAATAGATTATATTAACGACGATGTTGCTCACGTAACATTCGGCGGCTGGAGTACAGCTCAGCATGCTCGGCGATGACGATTCGCGAAACGACATATCACTTTTTTTTTTTTTACCTGCACTCCTTCCACCGTCAGCTGGACGACGCCCGTGTAGGCGAATTGGATCAGCTTGTCCATCGCCACTTCGTCGATGTCACCGATTGTCACTTCCTGCGAAAAGTGATTGGGCAATATGTGGATTTATATCGCTCGTTGTTCAACTTGAGTGTAGTAGATATAGGGGAATGTCTGCATATGCATAAATAACGATTGGTATTTTGTTAATCGGAATCAAACTGGGGATGATCAAATAACGCCAGCTGCTTGGTACCGTTTACTATAGTGTCAAAGAACAGTTGAAAACGTCCGGCATTTTTAAAGAAAAGGAAAGTATTCTTCGTTTCAATTTTTTTTTTCATGGGAGAGTTCATGGAGATAACGCCCCTGAAACTCATGTAGCTCCTTCCAGCTCTCTTTAAATTTGGCTACTGCAAGTGATGCCGCATGTGGTCTGCGAGCCGTGTATGTGGTCTTACTATCGAGTTATAAAATGCCTTGACAAGGTCTTTTATACATTAGTCTTCTAAACATTAGGGCTAAATTGAGCGTTTTGATGTGCCTGTGGCTTAAAAAATTAATTTGAAACACACACAGCATGGTTGTACTGTAGGAAGGGCGTTGATGGTTCATGACGTTCTTGGTGCGAGGGCTGTCTGTGCTACCGCACTTTAGCAGACATAAGCACAGCAGCTCAGCTGCTGGAGTAGATATGGAAGGGGTGGCCTCCCAAACGTAAGCGAGACACCTAGCAGAGCGGCATTTTATTGTATCTTCTGTATAGCAACCTACAATTTTTTCATTAACGACGAAGATTCTGGACAAGGAACAGATAGCTGAAGACCTCCGAGGAACAACGCGGTTAGACGTAATGTCTTCAAGCATCCAGACTGGATCACCTCCCTGTTCCTACACAAGTTGTAAAAATCCAAGGATCACCTGCATGGAGTATTTTCAGGATTGGCTATATCTGGGAGCGATAGATGGATTCACTGTTTTCGAAACAAGGCACCGACAACGACGGACACACTGTACCGAAGAATCTGTGATAGTAGGATGGACAAAAGAACTTATGCACTTCTGCACATGCAGCTGTTTAGCGCTTCCAGAAAGGCACAGGATCAGCATCGTGCGGGATGCAGCCAAGCTGAAGCAAGATTCTAGTAAGTTGCATAGTTGGTACTCTGTTTCGAATGTGACTTGCATCGTATGTGGAGAGAACAGACCACAGACCGATAAATATGAGCGCTGACTTCGAACTGGAATGTTATTGGGTAAAACGGGCATACATTACAGACATGATAAAAACAATATTGACGTGATTCGGCCAGTAAGCCTCCAATATCTTTAACTTAATAAGAGTTGGCGTTCTTGCGTCTACACTTGTGCCCTTATTCATCTTGAGCGGTCTGTTCGTGCTTTGGTTGTTCTTTTGAGTGCTTGCTCCATGTAGGCTGCATGTTTTAAATGGGGTCGCGGGGGCTCTTCATCGTACTGTCTGTCGAATATGCTTGTACTTCTGATTAAAAATTCTTGGTTCGAAGTCAGCGCTTGTATTCGTTTGTTTGTCGCGTTCACATGCACTGCATTCACAATCGAGATCCAGGCTAAACCTGTTGCCTCCAACGCCAACACCATAACCAGTGCCAACACAGTAGTGATGGACGTGTTAAGTGACCGACCTGCTGCTGACTCTCGGCGAGAGGTGTGGTGAACATAGCGTGGAAGTAAGGCGAGCAGCAGGCCAGCACCAACCGATGGCAGCGCCACGAACGCGAGCCCACGTGCAGCTGCACATCGCACAGTTGGCCATCGTCGAAGAACTGGCGCAGGCGGCGGAATGATTGCTGCGCCACGTCGGGTGCCGCGTACGTAACGCGGCCACACGCCTCGTTCACGATGTGGCCGCCGTCGCTCATGCCTCGGGGAACACCGTGAACTGCTTCACAGGCTTCCTAGGCCATGACCCTGCATCCTCGTAAACTGTGCAAGAGAAGAGCAAATGGAATTCGATTAGTCTAAGCATAACCTCTGAACAAGGCTGAGAGAGGCCGGTGTACTGTGCGATGTCGGCGCACGTTAAAGAAAGACTAAAACTCTTAAAGACGTCGGACAAGACATGTACGCACTCTGCGCTCATGACGTGGTAGTCACCAATTTATCCCAGAGCCGCGCAACTGCTTGACACTGCTTATGAGAAAAACGCTATACATACGTGGTGTCACTGCGTCATTGCAACGACCACTGTGTTTGTGGTGCTGGCTATCAGCTTTCATAAAAATGTAATAAACAGTACATATGACCTCCTTCTTATGAGTCAGCAACCTATAGTCAAGCGTTGCTTGACCCCGGAGAAAAGCGCTAACGATCACTAGGTATGACATAAACATCATCAAAACTGAGCGTGTGATTCGTTTCGGCAAAGCTAATCTTGGTGTTCTAATGTCTGTCCTTTAAGTTCCAGTGTAGTCAATGTACCCGTAAACCCACAATCTACACACTACTCAACATACACCAAACCATCGATCCGACTCACAACGCTAGGCTCAAGGAATAAATAAATACATGAATAAGTAAATAAATAAATAAATAAATAAGTAAATAAATAAATAAATAATGCAACGTAAGCAGACGCGCTGGCTGATTTGCATCAATCTATTTCCCCCGCGCATAAAATCCACCGGATTTTTTTTTCTATTAGGTGACCTTTCAGAGCCCTTTGGACTGAGGATTGTCTAAACCAGCTCTAGGAATTCATTCATTAACCCCCCCCCCCCCCCCGCGCCCACATGCTCCGCGAATGCCCGGTAGACCCTCCTCCGCGGGGCCCGCAGCCACTGACCACATGGGAAAAATGGGAGACCCAGCGACGCTCGACGGACCCGGCTAAGTAGAAGACCGCCACTGACCAGGCCACCCACGTCATGCAACTAAATGAACTCATGAACGCATAGCGCAGTGGGGGTCGTGCGGAGACCTTGGGCCATACGTGCCCGAATACCTTGGTCAAGTAAAGTTTTTACTACCACCACCATTTATCCAAGAGGCTCGTGAGCAGACTATTATGGGAAGCTGTAGGACGCGAAAGACATGCCGCGTGAGGGAACAGCTAAAGATGAACTCTGCTTCAACGGCTGTCGAACAACAGCTCTTCGTACTGCATGCCCCACACTTGTAAGACGTTTTTCGGGGGAAAAGAAGACAAAGGTGGAAGGTGTCTTCCATGCATTATTTTTCTGGGGATTTTCGGGGCAAGACGCTTTGACCTTTTAGGGTTTGGGCAGGCGCGCGATCTTCTATCTGCCTTACGCAAAAATTCCGAAATTCTTTTTGACCATCTTATTTGACTCAGTTGGAGCTCGATATATACAACACTCATAGCACCGCCACGGGTATAGTGGTCATTGCGCTAGACTGTTGACTCGACGACCGCGGGATCAAATCCTGGCGGCTGCATTTTCGATAAAGGTGAAATTGAAGCGCCGTGGAGAGCGCGCGGCAAGTGAGGGAGAGAGTGACGTCAGCGTGTACTGCAAGTGGTGCGTGACGTCAACGTGCAGCAGCGGTGTGACCTACTTGGCACTGCGCCAACACCTGCGACGTGCGGTGCATTCGTACGGGCACCGTTACATGCTCTAGTCAAAGAGATGCTTCGCATGTAGGAAAAAAAAAACGTAAACCGAGGTTTTAAATGCGAAACATTTCTTAGCGAACTTCGGTGACTTTGAGCGTATCTATCTATCTGGCCGCGTACGACTTTTAGCTCTCCTGGCCGTTTCGATAATGGTATCCATACGAGTCTTGGTATGGCATAACATGACTGTATGAAAAACATATTTGACTAGTCATAACACGAAAATTGACATGCATGTTATGAATGTCATGATTTACATTTCATGTTCCTGCAGATTTTGTGGTGGTTTCGTTCACATGGCATGTTGCAAAACTGGTATGGCATGGAACAATTGCATTACGAACACAACCGACAGACCCTAAAATGAAAATCATGATATGCGTGTCATGTAACAACAAGATTACATGCCACGCTGATGCAGCGCACGCGGCCGTTTCGCTAGCGTCACATATACCAAATGTGGTGTTACAGTATGCGAATTAATGACGAAGGTATGTGACTGGTGCAAACATGATAATCATGAGATGCGTGTCATGTAACAACATGACTACATACCACGCTCATGATGCGCGGGCGGCCGTTTCGCTAGCTTCACATGTACCAAACTCGATATTACGCGAACGCACGACATAGGTAAGTGACACATCCAAACATGATAATCACGAAACGCGTGTCATGTAACAACATGCCTACATGCCACACTGATGATGCGCTCGCTGCCGTTTCGCTAGCTTCACATATGCCAACTTTGGTATTACGTGACGCCAATGGAAGACGAAGGTATGTGACTGGTGCAAACATGATAATTATCAGATGCGTGTCATGTGAGAACATGACTATATGCCACAGTCAAGGCGCCAATACATTTCGACGTGACGCGGTGCGTGTTCGCGCCGGCGTTCATTTCGTCGGGTCACGCCGGCGTTGCCACGCCAGGCACAGGTCCTGCCATATACTGGCAGGCGCGCGCAGCGCTGCGTTGCTTTGACGCCTGCGCGTTTCAGTGCGTCCGGCGTCCCTCCGTCACGAAAAGAGGGAAACGCAGTGTTGTCTGGGTAACGCATCAGCGCGGAATGCAGCCTGCCTCATTTCGCGCTGGTTGCCGTCGGGCCGCGTCGACGGACGCTGGTCGCGTCTGGCGTCCGACTATATGGATGGATGGAAAAACTTTATTTCGTCGTCTTACGCCACTGCTACCCGCACTTACACATTACCGATCTATGTAAAGCATGCGGGCACAGAGCAACGCTGCGCCACATGCTCTGGGAATGCGCCGATAACAATGGTCGAGAAACGGCCGCCGTTCGCGATGAGCCTATGGCGGCTGCCAATACCAGGCAACAGGAAGCCTCGAGCTCACTCGTTCCCGCCGCCGTCCCGTCTGCGGGAGCCGCGGGGGACCTTCTCCGTCGGCGACGCCGCCGCTGGGAGGCGGCGCTCAGAAGCTCGGAGCTCAACGACCAGCTCTGGGCTGTCCGGCAGGCCGAAGATGCCGCCCGAGTTCAGGGACTCAGCGCCGCCATCTGAGGCCACCAAGACCAAGCTGCCGGCCAAGTTCTAATAAAGTTTCCTCTCTCTCTCTCTCTCGTCAGAAAGCAACTGAGGATGATTCCGTGTTAGATGGCCATCAACCCAAGGTTGGCGGCGACCTGTGTGGCCCACTCCACGACCCTTAACTGGACGACTGGGTCTGAGCTGGTCAACACGGCCTCCCAGTGCTCAAGAGAGGGATCACGCATAATATCCACCGGTGGCGGCACTATGCTACATTCCCAAAGTATGTGATCATATGTTGCCACAGCCTGACACCATTTGCATTGCGGCTTTATCTCCTCCGGGTACATTTTGTTCGACACGTAAGGGTTGGGAAAAGATCGCGTCTGCAGTTTTCTCCAGACGCATTCCTGCGCCTTAGTCAACCGCTTGTGCGGGGGCGGATAAAACCTCCGCTCTAGTTTATAATGATTCGTTATGTCATGAAAGGACACCAGCCCATCTCTCGCGGACCTCCCCGGAACTGGCGGCTCACCTACCCGGCTGACGAAACCTCGAGCATTCAGGTGAGCCGCCTCGTTCCCAGGGTTCCCAGAGTGTGCTGGTACCCAGACAATTTCTATTTCTCTAATTTCTCGTCCCGTGGCCCCATGTAGAAATCGTGCGGCGGTCGCCGATATTCTGCCCCTCGCCAGATTTCGGATGGCTGTCTTTGAATCACTGAAAATCAAATCTGACTGCGAATTAGTTATAGCTAGCGCTATTGCCGCTTCCTCTGCAGTTTCCGAGGAGAGGGTTTTGACCGATCCAGAAGCGATCAAGCGCTCCCGCCTGTCCACCACCACAATCACAAAAGCGTCTTTGTCCTTATATTCCGCAACATCTGTATAGACTGCCGCTTTGTACTCGCCGTACTCAACGTGTAAAGCTCTGGCTCTTGCCTGCCTGCGCTGCGTATGGTGAATCGGATGCATATTTTTGGGCAAAGGTTTTATGCACAGGGCCTTATGTAACTCTCGCCGCACCTGAGTTTTAGTGTCCCCAGTGGGAGCCTCTGCTCCAATGCCAATCCTTTCCAATATAATCTTGCCCGCTTTGGTTGTCGAAAGCCTAGCGTGCTGCATCACCAGATGCGCCTCCCATAATTCATCCAGGGTGTTGTGTACCCCTAGTTTAGAGTTCTCGCGTTTTGCTAACGCAGCGTCGCTGTGGCCAGCGATCGCACGTCGATTCTGCGTTGGAGTATATTGTGCCCTTTATGCGCTCGCGGCCGTTTTGCTAGCTCCACATATACCAAATTCGGTGTTCCGTGACGTCAACGGATGACGAAATATATTACTGGCGGAAACGTGATAATCCTGACACGCGTGTCATGTAAGAACATCACAACGTACCACGCTCATAGCGTGCTCACGGTCGTTTCGCTAGCTCCACATATACTAAATTTGGTATCACGTGACGTGAATAGACGACGAAGGTAAACGACACATCCAAACATGATAATCATGACACGGAAGTCATGTACGGCATCGTTTGCCTCCACCTCGTGACGTTGTGCTGATTTTAAAGAGACATATCAACCTCTCTCACTCGTGATTCGCATATCATCGATTCCCACTGTACGTGGGGATCTGCATTTTTGTGTGTGTGTGTGTGTGTGTGTGTGTGTGTGTGTGTGTGTGTGTGTGTGTGTGTGTGTGTGTGTGTTCAAGCCGATGTTTCGACAAGTGGACTTCTTCTTCAAGGCAAGAACTGCAGTTCTGGTGTCGGCTACCTGTTTCACTTAAAGTGTATTTTGTCTCCTCCTCGTAAGCGGGTGTCCAGTAAGAAAATATCGTGTTCGGCTGTGTAGAGA